ACGCACACACACACACACACACACACACACACACGAACACACGCACACACATACACACACACAATACTGAAAAATTGACGAGCGCCTGATTTCACCGTGTCGGGACAGAAATAAATGGGATGGTCCAACAGCTGAACGAGGATGTGCCTCACACCCCGGCGACTTATCAAGTGCTGTGTTCACGCAGTGGCGCCAGTGATAGAGTTGTTGTTGGTGTTGTTGTTGCTGCTGTCGTTGTTGTTGGTGTTGTTGTTGTTGTTGGTGGTGGTGGTGTTGTTGTTGGTGGTGGTGGTGATGGTGGTGGCGGTCTTGTTATTATTGTTGTTGCTGTTGTTATTGCTATTGTCGCTGAGGTTGTTTTTGTTGTTGTTGTTGTTGTTGTTATTGTTATTGTTGCTGGTGTTGTTATTGTCGTTGTTGTTGTTGTTGTTGCTGCTGCTGCTCTTGTTATTGTTATTGTCGTTGTGTTGTTATTGTTGTTGTTGTTGTTGTTGTCGCTGTTGCTGTTGCTGTTGTTATCATTGTAGCTGAAGCTGCTGTTGTTGGCGTTGGCGTTGGTGTTGTTGTTGATGTGGTGGTGGTGGTGCTGCTGCTGCTGCTGCTGCTGCTACTAGTGGTGGTAGTTTTAGGAAGTTATTGCTGTTGTTGGTGGTGATGGGATGTTGCTGTTTGTTGTTATTACTCGTAGTATCACTGTTGTTGTTTTTGTTGCTAGTGGTGGTGGTGGTGGTGGTGTGTTTTGGTTACTAGTAGTGTTATTACTGATTTTGTTGTTCGTGAGGAAGCGATGGTAGTTGGGTATTGATGTTATTTTTATCATTATCATCATTATCATTATCATCACTATCATCATCATCATTATGGTGTTATTGGTGTTGTTGTTGCTGTTGTTATTATTATTGGTGCTGTTATTGCTGCTAATGGTGGTGGTGGTGGGATGTTGTTGTAGCTGTTGTTGTAGCTGTTGTTGTTGTCGTTGTTGTTTTTGTTGTTGTTGTTGTTGTTGTTGTTGCTGCTGGCGGTTGTGTTGTAGTGAGTTTTTGTTTTTTGCATTAATATTGTTGTCGTTGTCATCGCTGTGTTGTCGTGATTAAAATCCTCTCTCTCTAACTCGCCGTTTCTTCTTGAAGTACTGTCAGTGAAAAATTTAGAACAACACTTTATCAGAAATTGTTTAAACAATATTTATTGGTTATAGAATATAGTTTGACGTGTGGTTAACTCCAGAGGTATTCAAGTGTATGTCAAAATAAAAATGAGACCTCCAATTAGAAGTCGTCAGGGGGGGGGGGTGTATGTGTAATAATGTGTATGCTATTATTTGTGTATGTGTGTGTGTGTGTGTGTGTGTGTGTGGGTGTGTGGGTGTGTGTGTATGTGTGTGTATGTGTTTGTGTGTTGTCATGTGTGTATTTTGTCCACACTATTCCTGCTGTGTCGGTTACTTCAACCTGATGAAAACTGCCATGACGTCAGCGAGGCCGTAATCTGAAAATCAAAGACATAATAATAATAAAGATAATCATCATCATCATCATCATCATCATCATCATCATCATCATCATCATCATCATCATCATCATCATCATCATCATCATCATCATCATCATCATCATCATCTTCATCATCATCATCATCATCATAGTAATAATAGTAATAATGATAATGAAGACGATGATGATTATAATAAAAATGACAATAATAATAATAATAATAATAATAATAATAATAATAATAATAATAATAATAATAATAATAAGAGTAAAATTGAAACCCACCGAAAGACATACATTATCTTGTCTTTACGACATTCAAAAAGGGTGATATTAACGTGTTCTTATGCACAATAGTTTTGGAAAGGGGCTGATTTATCAATGTCATGCTCATATACTGTGCCGGAACAACACAGGGGGAACTGCTGCTTTTTCTTTCTTCACCCATACTATTGTCATTTCTTTTACTTCTTTTGTATGCATGTCACTCTCTTGTGAGCTGCTTTTTCTGGAGTGCCTTGGTGGTCGAAGCAGACTTTGTGTTGTTGAGGCTTGAGAGGTGAGCAGAGTAAGCCTGATTCCCCTTATGGACTTCGACGTTTTACATCCACCCCTTGGCGCTCATATGATCTTATGCAGTTGCGAGCGCCGTAAAAACCTTACTAAAACTAACTGCATGTAAATAGATTATCTCTAATAATAATAATAATAATAACAGATTGCATTTATATAGCGCTCTATCCCATTCTAGTATACGCTCTGAGCGCTTTACACCAATCACATAATCATTCACACAAGAAAAAATATTTCACAGAAGCAAGAAAAACCAGTTTAACCACATAAAGAAGAACTTTCACTACCATACATTAACTATACACGAAAGGACAGTGGAAAAAATGTAATAAATATGTACATGTACATTAAAAAATACACACTATAACTAACAACTAACAACCCTTTCAACTAAATCACTCACTTTCCTCATTCCAGTTGTCCAGAGTGTCCAGCTTACTGTAGATCATATGAGGAAACGTCTCTGAGGCCTGGGAGGCTGACCACCGGCACATATTGCTGACGTCATCTTCGATGACCAGCCACCCGTGCTGGTGACACTCCTTGACTTTGCTGGTGCTCACGTAGAAATGGCGAAACACAATTCTGTTTAGAGAAATAAATATAATAATATTGTACACTGCATGGCGTATATATTTCTGCCGTAAATGTCGAAATACAACACTGTGTACAGAAATAATAATATTATCTGGTAACTTTTTGTATACTGCATGTGTATAATACTATAAGCTTATCATCACCGTGTTGTAAACTATGAAACACATGCACAGAAATTATATATTACTAGCTGGGCCCCCTTTCGATGAAAGGAACGATCGGTGCTTTAATATCAACTAAAAGTCATTGGCCTACTATATTTACACTCTACTGGAATGGGGCAATAAATCTTGAGAGATGCAACAAATTATAAAGTCTAGATCTATAATCTCAAAACAAAATGCGCCTCGCGAAATATCACTTCCGGATTTTCTAAAATTACAGAGACAGAAGCGTCGGCGTACAAAAGCGATCGGCGAAATAAAGAAATTTAGGTTTTTGCAGCAAAACTGTCTCAAAGCTGGAAAAAAAACAAGTAAATGGCGAAACACAACACTGCGCACAGAAATAATATCTTTTTTAAAAAAAACAGTGAAAGAGTAGGGTTTTAACGCCTCTATCAACACTAATAGGTTATTTAAAAGGCGAGACCTCCGAGTCTAACGTTCATGTCTGAAAGGACCAAGCAAAATGGGAATTTCGTGTAAAGTGCCTTTCCCAAGGACACAACGTCGGACCTAGCTGAGGCTTGAATCCTCGAACCCGCAACCTCATGATTACGAGTCCCGTAGCTTAACCACTAGGCTGCCATCGCGGTAATATCTCATAAATACTTGTCCGCAGGCTTGTAATATGTTCATTGTCGTGGAAATAGTGAAACACAATCCTATGCACAGAAATAATTATTAGCTCTAAGTACAATGTATTTGTAGACTACAAGGTGTGTATCATTCTGCTGTAAATTATGATGAAATACAACAATGTGTATAGAAATGATATCTTATTAATACTTCATATAAGCTACATTTTCATCTTTCTCCCCTTCCTCCTCCTCATCACGATGATGATGATGATGATGATGATGATGATGATGATGATGATGATGATGATGTGATGATGATGATGATGATGATGATGATGATGATGGTGACGACGACGACAACGGCGATAATA